ACAAAAATTACATGTACCAAGGTAGTCCCAACTAATCCTTCGAGAACACTATATGCCAGCTTTAAAACGAGTTTTTGAAAATCGACATACTTTTGTGCATAAAATATGGTCGTTGGTTCTAATCTCGGTCGACGAGTGAAAGTCTGGTGAACATCAGCGACTGTTTGTAGATTTTGTAATTTTAAGAGACTTTTTCTCACGTTTTGGTCACGTTGCCGGCGACCATTTCTAGTAGTCGTTAGATCGTAAATGGTCGCAGTCCGGTGTGACGGGGCTACCAGTTTCCTTGTTTTATAAAAACATGTCAGCACCCACCTGTGTGAATTCTCGTGTGTCGTTTCAAATCAAAGGTATCATTAAAACCCTTGCCACAGAAGGTGCATAGATATCGTTTGATGTCGCTGTGGTTCTTCACGTGACGGTTTAGTAGTCGCAACAGAGCAAACTCTTTCAAACAAATGGGACATTTAAACTTGGTGTTTTCTTTCCCATTATCTATTCAGAAAGAAAAGAAGACACATAAACAATTGAATAGATTAACAAAATATTACGTACAAGAGTTCTGTAGTGGCCAAATGAATTTACGTTGTACATCTAATAGATCACAGTACCCTACCGAGCTCAGTATCTGGTGGGTTATTTGTACTCGACAAAGGTACCCCAGCAATACCGTACTCATATGGTTGAAAGAGGTGGAGTTCTAAATCCAACGGGTAATGATGAACTTTTTGACATTCTACAGCACAGACAGATTTGGGTCGCATACGAACAAGACTATTTTGAATTTTAAAAATATCAAATACTTACTTGCAGCAATATTTTCCAGCTCTTTCAGATGAAGTTCACTGAAGGAAGGATTTTTGATTCCATAACCACCGTTAATCAACTCAATATCCAGTTTCCCTGCTGCCTGAAATCACAAACAATCAACCTTTAAAATATTACTCTTACATTGGCAAGTTATTGAGCGTCTACTGCTTCTAACAGACATATTGGGCGCCAGAATACAGACTGTTGTTTCGGTCTATTGTCTTTCTATTGGAATGAAACCTGCCGACAACTGACAAAAATTGCTTTCCAAGAATCGGTAAAATCTACTGGTCCTAAGCAAGAATCAAAGACGTCTGATTGAAACTTGGAATGGTGCAAATTGATGCTATCAGTGTTCCCGATACACCTACAAAATTTAGAAAACCTCTTTACAATCCATTTAACTCATCAACATTTATCTAATCTTTTTAAATGGGTGCCAAGATTAACCTGGGTCGGGAAGGGTCTGCCTTCCCTGGCAGATCAGAATCACAAATAATACCAACCTGGAGTAGATTCAACAGAGGTGGAGACGATGTTTCCCTGACCAGGGTCGAATTCGGCGGCTCAACTTTTGGTTCTGGTAATTTCAATGTAACTGGATCTGTGGGCTCTATCGGATTCTGGCCAACTATAGACTTTTTCCAATGTTTCACGGTGGTCGGTTCCGTTGAGGATCTTTGTTGGACTGTTGTCTGTTTGTCAGTTGATGTCCGAGGCGACTGAATGGTTACTTTGGGTGCCTTCAATGCAGCTTTGGATTCCTCTAGCGGGGATTTCGCTGGGGGTCCTGATGCCGGACTAAATGATAAAGGACGTTGTACGGCTACATCTCGTTCGACCTTCGCTTGAAATCGTGAAAACTGGGGAGAAGGTGGTGTGGAAAATGGTCTATCCATTGGCACTGTTCGTGGGATCATTGAAGGCTGAGACAAGGCCGGTTGGGAATAATTATTGGAGAGCTGGCCGGTGTCTAGTTGGGGTTCCTGTCCACGAATATCACGAGGCTGTGAAGGAGGTCCAGAGATGACTTCTCTCTGTAAAAAAGCATGAACTGGCTGGACAAGGTAGTAACTCGAGTTGGCAGCTTCCGAAGGTTGTCTTTCATTTGGCGGATGTGATCTGGTAAGGTCCAATGGAATATAGGTATCGTTTTCAACCTTTCTCCTCATAGGAGGGCATGGTACCGGCGAATAATGTGTTGGTGGTGGTAAATTTGTTGCCACTGAGTTTCCAAATCTTGGACTCGACGCAATTGACACCGGTACACGTCGCGGTGATGACGTCATTATCCCGGGTCTCATTGGAAACGGAAGTCGTGGATCAAATGGTGGTAGTAGTTGACTGCCGACTGCAGGGAAGGGCAAATAAGTAGGGCGCGCACTCGGCACCCTTGGAGTTTGATTTGTTGCCGATATTGGTGAAAGCCCTGGTGTAAAACATCGTACAAAACCTTGATTTCTCGTCAAGACGGGTCTTCTTAGTGGACTCTCCCAGTTCGGAGAATTCGCCAATCTCGCCATGGTTTGAACTGGGAAAATTGAAGAAGAAGGTTTTGGTATCGGAGATAATCGTGGTCGGCTCATTCTGGATTGAAACGTTGCCATTGGTGACGAAGCATCCTGAGCATGGGTTCTTTGGATTGGCTTCACGGGTGTGGCAAACGTTGGTTTCTTTGGGGTGACGTTCTCGAAAATAATGTCACTGGGCGCTCTCGGAGAATCTTGTACAGAGCTGTGCTGATTTTTTGATGGAGTGGAATATTCTAATGGAACTGAAGAACATCTTTTAGGAGTTCTGGTATTGGTGACTGTATACGAGGATCGGGCAAGATGTGGAGAAACGGCTCTGTGAGGGAATTTGACTAGCGGGGAGCAGAGCGTTGGGGATTTCCATAAGCTATATTCTTCATAAAAACCACTGTCATTGCCAATATTAGATTGTATGTCCAGATTGTGTTGTTTCTTTAAAGGTGTATGGTTCGTTTCTTCGTCCAGTTTCTTCTTTTTTATCGGTGATAATTCTAAAATAGAAAATTTTCATTCTTATATTACTGTCACATGCAATTACGAAAGTCGTTCTACTGTAGAATATTCGTCTTGTTGATTCCTTACTCCAGTTTGGAGATTTTGTATTGTATAGGCTACTTTGCTCATGTCTAATGTACAATGTGGTAAAGTTAACCTTCATAGAACTGCAAGTAGTACTCGCGGAAAGGCGGGTGGGCGTGGTACGAGCAAGTATAGGGGAGGGGGGAAGTGGTTAATATTTCTACTTCAAATTCAAATCTTATTTTTTTGTTGATGAGGGGGGGGGGGGGGGGGGGGGGGTATCGATTCCAGAGCTACAACGCTGGGTAGTTTTTATGTTCACAGGGTTATAAAATTAAATTTTATAGAGAAATTGAATTGAATGAGTTAATAAGATCATTAATATGTTGTGACTAATTAACTATGATCATAAAGGGACTGGGTGATCTCTACTTATTTTCAACTATAAAATGAAATGGGGCTGGTCTTTAATTGACCACATCTAATGTCTTATCAAGTTTCTGTACTGGTCGAGGGCAATTTAATCGGAATATCGTGGGAAGGAGCAAAAATTCCACCCCGTAAATCATTTGAAAAAACTCTTGGGAATAGTGACGTCATAAAATCAAACGAAAGTAAAGTTTGTAGTTTCAGAAGATCTAAGAACTTTCAAAACAATTTCATAAATTGGACCCGAAATTGTCCCTTCCCATGGGAAGCAGTCTTAATATTATCATAAATTACAAAACTAAAAACATTTTGATGTGTGCATCTCTCGGGAGACCCATTGCCCCTGGCCCCAAAAACAGTCAAAACCAGCCTGACCCCCAGGGCATGTATACAATAGGTAAATCGGGAATATATAATTGTTCTTGTGAAACTCTCTTAAGACAAAGAGATCGCCCCTAAAACAACTCAAGTGTGCCCCTTAGGGTCGAGATGGTTATAGGAAAGTAAACAATAAACTAAGATCTTAAACTTTTTCTAGTAGTTTGTTCTCTCCGTAAAAACTCTAAGGTCATAATAATTGTTTTTTATGTCAGCTAGTGCAAAATTTTTGACTTCAAAATGAGGCTATGTTTTAGGTGGGAATAGACGAGGTGCGGTGTACGGTGGGAGATTATAGATACAGTAGAAAATAAAAGAAACGATCGTGTCCGCACCGTGTACGCATCTGTACCTCGTGTGTTCACTTCTTCTATTTTCGTTTGTATCGATTAGGCTATTCCACAACAGACACCTTACCTCGTCTATTCGCGGCTTTACAGTTCTAATATAGGGAGTAGTGAGTCGGGTTGTTCGGCTGTAAAAAGTCTAAACTAATGTCAATGTTTAAAACTTCCACGAAGGCCCTAAAGCTTCAAAACTAATTTAAACCAATCGAGTTTAAAATTTAAACAAGAACTGATCGGTCTACTATTTTTTTTTTCTAAATCGAGAAAAATTGGTTCGGTTAGTCTAAATATTGATCTACTGTATTGGTTGTGTGTGGACAAGATGGCGTAGGAAAAGGGGTAACTTTAAAACAAACCGAACAGTCGTTATAGACATACGAATTACATAATAAACTTATCAAAGTCTGATTCAATGATTAATCAGTCAGATTTTAAACCCTTTACAACTCTCTTCTCATTAGGGAATTTTCGAGATTTGAATTTCGCGCCTTCAAGCACAATAAGCAGACGGACAAAGACAATGACTTAATCTGAACGTCAAATGGATCAGTCTTTCACACTTCAGCCACTCGAAGTATTATTCGCGAGTTTGGGGAGTTCATGGCCCTATCATTCGAGGTTTTTATTCTTTAAACATAGATAATTTATTACAGAAGAAAAACACTGGTTATCAAACCGTTTTTTCATTTCTTTTTTGCAATCAATACAGGCCTTTGAATAGTTTCGTAAATTAAAAACTGAGCGCCACTTAAAGGGTAGACTTGAATAATTTTTTCAGGTTTTGAACACTTTTTCACAGAAATTAATTCAAAATTCAAAACTGTTTTCTTAATTTTAAGACATGCCTTTTGAAGAGGAAAACAGCAGGTGATCCTATAACAAAGGTCTGGATAAAGAAATCTATTGATATGACGTGTACTAGATAATCGAGACTTGTTATGAAACAAAAGGACTGGTGTTAAAGTAACGGCAAAATAACCGGAAGGACATGTGTTGAATCGTATTTCCATGGCAACTGTTTCTTTGTTCTTCCTGGAGCGCGAGATTCAATTCGGATAAAACATCTGCCCTGTCGCGTGTTTGACAAATAAAATAGTTGTAAAAGCGAATATTTTTAGACCTATTATTTGGACAGTATAAGTTATAAAATATCGACTTGAATTAAAGTAAAGATATTTCTAGCCCCTTCGATGTAATTTGACCCTCACCACAGGGGTATAGAAATAGGGGCCTGGTATATCGGTTGATTAAATTTAGTGTATAGTCGAAGACATGTGTTTAACTTATTTTAAAACGAGTCACCCGCGGGTCAAGTTACATTTCTTTATATGGAAACCGTTAGATTTGAGTTATATATATAGGATCTACAGTAACTCCCTATATAGAGACCTTTAACAATGTATGTATACATGTATATCGCCCTGAAATTGTAAAACTTGCTATATGCATACACGGCTTATAAAAAGTAG